TCCCCGGGGGGGAGGGGGGGAAGGACCCCAGGGGACAGCAGGTCACCCACCCAGCCACATACCTCCAGGAACCTAGTTGCTGTCCCACTGGCTATCCTCAATAGATCCCTTTGCAGATGTACCCCTTTTCCACAGCCTAGCCAATGTTTCTCAGCCTGGTACCCCCAATCAAGACTTCTGCCTCTGCATAGGAATCTGAGGACACCCCAGTTTGGCATATCCAAAGCCCCCAGCCTAGCTCCCATCTCTCCCAGATCCTGGCTCCTGTTCATTGCAAGGTCCTTCTTACACACCTGGGCATTACCTAAGCTTGGGGGTTCTTTGCCATGGCACTATCAACGTTTTGGATCAGATAATGTGTCCTGGTGTTGCAGGGTGCTCAGCTCTATCCTCAGCCCCTACCCACTAACTGCCAATAATATCAACCCTCTCCCGAGTCATGACAATCACATATGTTTCCAGACACAACCCATGTCCTTAGAGGAGGGGGGCAAAACTAGCCTCAGTGAGAACCACGGGCTGCAATGGCTTCCTTGGCTTCATCTGAGGACCAGGAAGTGCTGGTGCAGAACTAGGAGCAGGCCCACCCCTGTCCTGCAGACCCCATGCCCACCAAGGCACACTCCAGCAGCCTCACTCTGTCCACATGAAGGGTGGCTTCTCCTTACTGGGGGCTGCTCTCTGTTCAGCAGAGCAGCTATGAGGTGTCATTGTCTTGTAGCTAAGCCATCAGGAACATGTGACTTTGCCTCTTTGGGCTGTGACTTTGCCTGCCTCACAGTGCTGTGAGATAACAAGAAGGGACCCTGTGGCCTGCCATGCTGCCCGCAGGGGCATTCCATCTGTGTTGGCTCCAGCAGGTGCAGGCTGGCACCTGGGGCTGCCTCTCCATGAGGCAGGCCATGAGCCTGGGGACAGACCTCTGCACTCTCTTCCTCAGCCACCAGTGCCAAGAGGGGTTGCTGTCCACTTCTACTCCTGGACCCTGGCAAAGAAGAGCCCAACCTTTACTGCATTTCTCTGTTGTTATCTAGAGCTTAAAAAATATCGAATGTCCATTATTCAATGAAATCAAAACAATCCAGTGATACACAGAGGCAAGCGGAGAGTTTCCCCCACTGCAGAGCAGCAGCTCCTGGGGTTACCCATGCTGAGCTCCTGCCCAGTGCCACCCTCTCCCGCTCACTCAAGTCTGCCCAGGGCCCACATCAGGCCTCGAGCCCAGGGTCTTGTCTGTGCTGCTCTCTGTCCTGCAGGAGATGGAGGAAGTACAGTAAGGCCCAAATCAATATAGGCCAAGCATCCCTCATCTGAAACACCAGGGACCAGAATTTTTTTCCATATTTTCATATATTTCCATATTTCTAATAAAATATCTTGGGGATGAGACCTGAGTCTAAACATGCCATTCATTTACATTTCATGTATTCCTAATGCCCTAGCTGGCAGGTGATTTCATAGACTTCTAGTGCACCTGCATTGTGATTGGTTTGTCACACAAGGTCAGGTGTGGAATTCTCCACGTGGCATCATGTTGGTGCTCAAGAGTTTTGGGTTTGGGGGCATTTGAGATTTCGGGTTTTCATATTAGGCATGCTCAACCTGCATATGACTAGCAGGTCCAGTAACGACTAGGAAGGGACAGACAGTACCAGGGAAAGAGTCGCCCAGCTGCGGAGGACACCTCCTCTCCTGCCACAGCACAGGCATTCCTGAGCCGTCCAAGATGGCGCCTGCCTTTGTCAGAAAGTCTCTACTGTGTGAGGAAGTATCAGTTCATTCCCAAGTTCAAGGCCTCCGTGGCAGCCTCCTGGGAGATGCTCCTTCCCCGACTGACCGCTGTCTTGTTGCTCTGTTGCAGAAGGAGAGGCATCTGCTAGGGGAGACGCCAGCTGCAGGCCTTTGCCACCCTCCCCTCCAGCCACGCCTCCCGGCCTCTAAAGACGCATTTTCAATTCTCCCTGCCGGGTGCCTTCCAAACAGCTCCCCAACAAGCCCAGCACTGTTCTCATCTTACCTCCGCCAGCCCCGCTCCAAAAAGGAGACGCCGTCACCAATAACGATGAAATAATCAGACTGCAGCTGGGGTATTTTGCTGAATGTCTAATCGTTCCCATTTGTCTGGGCTGAAATAAGCACTTCTATGCCCCCAGAGAAGGCCACATACATGCTGGACACGTGGGAGCTGAGCAAGACCCCTGGTCAGCCCACAGCTCTGCCCTGAGAAGCCCATCCTGGCATGGTCTGAATGCACACTGAGAGCCACGGGGAGGGGTCGGTGGGAACCCCTTGTTTCTAGATAAGAAAAAGCTTAATAGCTTTGGATGATTGGAGCTAAGTGTTCACAAACTAAAGCAAGACCCAAGCAATGGCAAATGTACGCACTTATTGAGCCAGGAGGTCAAAGATTCTGTTGGAAGATGGAGGATGGGGGTCCAGGAGCTCAGGGTCTCAGGGGACCAGGTGAAGTTGTGGGGGGACCAGAACCCAAGAGGCCAAGGAGGCAAACTGGCAGGGGAACTGACTGCTGATGGGCAAGACAGAATCCACAAGCCCCAGGCAGAGAAATCATCGAAGGACTGGAGGCCAGAGGAGCTGAGCAGGCACCTTTCAGGGAGAAGACAAGAAATCTTGGCTTCCAGCAAGCAGAGGCTCCGGTTGCTGTGCATCCTGAGTGCACGCCCTTTGCATGTTTGCAGCATGGGAACGCAGGGCAGACCTGCAGCCAGCGGCAGGAAGGCCCACCCCTCCCAAATATCCTCTCAGATGCCACCTTCTGGGCTTTCAGAGGCAAGACCAGGCAGCAGCAAGCCTGCCCCTGCTGGAGGGTCATCTCCTGTCTGAGCTGCATCGGCCATCCGTCTGTTTCCCTGACCTTCCATCTTGTTCAATCTTCTGCAGTGATCATCGGCACAGTCCTGCTTCCCCAGAGGACTCTGCTCTCCACAAGGATGGGCGCCAACTTGTACCTTCCCCTCCCCTGCAGCAGTGCAGACTCTCCATAAATCTCCCTTTGATTGATAAATAATAAATGCAAGGGCTGTCACGGGTGGCCTCCAAGCTCTGTGCCGGAAGCTTCACACATCACCTCCGTGTTCTCTCCGCGCCCGAAGGTGGTGTTGTTATTTGCATTTATGAGCGAGGGAAAGGGGAATTAAAGAGATAGCCTGCTGGCAAGTGGCCGAGGACCACAGGGCGAGGCCTCCTCCTTAGCCGTGCCCTACACCGAGCCCTACCCCGTGCCCTACTCCGCCCTGGTGGAAGCACTCAGCTCTTTGTGAAGAGTACCATTTAAGCTCAGCACCTTCCCAGCAACGCACCCACCTGGGCTGCTCACTTGCTCAGCAATCATTTTCCTTGCAAATTTAGGAAGGTCACCTTCCGTCGTCAGGCTTATTTCAACAATTATTACAAAATATAAATTAAGGAAGTCTAAATGACGTGGGGATGTGTAGCTACACTTTAAAAACAAACAAACAGAATTTCTCAAGTAATCCAAGAAAAACCAGAGTGGGGCACGGGAAAGGCACGTGCTGGCAGGATTTGTTCCCCGTCCATAGGTTCAGAAGGTGGCTGCGGAGTCCGTGAGTAAATGAAGGAGCCCTTCCTTCCAGGAAGCCCACCCCGTCTGCCCACTCCCCTGGAGCCTCAACCTGCGGTTAACCTGGATTTCTGTTTAAAAACAAGAGAGAGAGAGAGAGAGAGAGAGAGAGAGAGAGAGAGAGAGAGAGAAATAGATCATTTAAAATGAGTCAGTAATTAATAACCTTCTAAAACAGAAATTACCAAATACAGATGGATCACTTGTGAATTCTACCAAATATTTAAGGAAAAATTTAAAGCAATTCTTGATCATATCTTCCAAAAGATAGAAGCAGATGGAATATTTCATAATTCATGAGGCCAGCATTTCCCTACCACCCAAACCAGACTGCGACATTACAGGAAAAGAAAACTATTGACCAATATCTCTCATAATCATTGATGCAAAAACCTCAAGACAATATTAGCAAATTGAATACACCAATGGAAGAAGAAGAAGGAGGAGGAGGAGGAGGAGGAGGAGGAGAATAATAATAATAACAATAATAATAATAATTATTATTATTATTACACAGCACAATCAAGTAGGATTCATCCCAGGTATAAAAGACTGGTTCAGGGGCTGGGGTTGTGGCTCAGCAGAGTGCTTGCCTAACACGTGCAAGGCCCTGGGTTCGATCCTCAGCACCACATATATAAATAAATAAAAGTATAAATAAAGGTATTATGTTCAACTACAACTAAAAAATAAATAAATAAATAAAGACTGGTTCAAAGTTTTAAAATCAATTCATTGCATCAACAGGGTAAAGAAAAAAATCACATGGTCATATGAATGGGTACAGAAAGATCATTTGATGAAGCCCCAAACCAATTTATGACAAAAACTCTCACCAAACTGGAAAGTGGAGAACTTCCTCCAATTGCAGAACTTCCTTAAATTAACAAAGGACATTTACCAAAAAAGCTACACCTAGTACCTTCCTTAATGGTGAGGAAATAGATGATTTCGCACTAAAATCAGGATTAAGGCAAAATGTCCCTCTCACCTCTCCTTTTCAACATCATTCTTGAGGTCCTGACACTAGGAGACCAAAAAAGGAAATAAAAGGTACTGACCAGGAAGTAAGAAGTGAAACTGCTTTTGCTCACAGCAGGCCATGACATGGTTATCTATGTACAAAATCTAAAAGGATCCACAAGAAATCTTTCTAAAACAGGCAATGATTGCAAGGTGACAGGGTTCAAAGTTCATATAAAAATGTTAATCTCTTTTCTGAACCCTGGCAATAAACAAGTAAAGTTTTAAACTAAAAACAGAATACTATTTATATTAGCACCACCAAAAATAAAATACCTACTTATACATCTAACAAAATATGTACAGGATCTACATAAAAACTGTAAAACTCTGATGAAAGAAATCCAGAACTAAATAAATGGAGAGATAGTTCATATTCATGAACAGGAAAATTTAATGTTGTCAGGACATCAGTTTTTCCAATTTCATGTACAGATTCAAAGCAATTCCAATGAAAATCTTTATATTCTACAGTGTATATCAACAAAATGGCTCTGAGATTTCCATGGAGAGGGAATAGATCCAGAACAGCTCCCGCAATGTGAAGAAGAACAAAACCAGAGAGCTGGCACTCCCAGGCTGAAGACTTTCCATAAATAGACAATAGCCAAGATAGAGTGGCACTGGTGGACGAGTAGGCACCCAGACTCCTGCAACAGAATGGAGAGCCCAGAATGGACCCAGTAACCATGGCCAACTATCTTTGATAAAAGAGCAAAGGCAATACAATGGCAGAAAGAGAGTCTTTCCATACTTGGTCCTGGAACAACTGGACATGCCCATGTGAAAGAAGGAAAGAAAAAAAAAAAATCTAGATACAGACCTTACGCCTTTTACAAGAAATCAACACAAAACAGATCACAGACCTACACGCAAAACTATAAACTCTTAGTAAATAACATAGGGGAAAAAATCTAGATGGCACGGTGAGCTAGACATTATTATCCCTACTCTGCAAAGGAGAAAATACAACAGTCTCGGGCTCTACTCAAGGTCTCACAGCCAGAGAAAGGCAGAGCCTGTCTGGCTCCAAACCCGGTGTACTCTCTACCACGTGGTGATGAGGGCGTCCAGGGAGAGGAGGCCTGGTTTCTCTAGGCAGGAGGGCGAGGCCAGAGAGATGCACTGAAGCTCCATGTGGATCTGGGGAAAGGCAGGGTGAAATGACGTAGGTCTCGCTGGACAAACAGGGAACGTGCAAACCCATGGATGTGCACTCTTTAAAAATGGAAACTGACCTCTAACAGAGGCACAGGGGAGAACACGCCTCCGGATATGGTGATCCCTCCTCATGTGTCCTCATGGCGAAAGGTGGCCATTCGAGGGTGGCTTCTGAGGAGCAGAGTGCCGAACAGAAGTAGCGTGCCCAACTCTGAACTAGATACCTCCGAGAACCTGTGTGCATTTGTATCAGTCTCTGTGCTTCCTCGACTAGTTCAAAATTAAAATAAAATTCTTCTTCTGATCCATAAGTAACCATGATCATTGTAAATAAAAAAAAACCACTTTGTAAACTAATCAAGCGATGCAAATACAGCATAAAATGAAAGTAAAACTGAAGTGCCCACATTTTAGTGCTGTCCCACGGCACCAGTCCTGCTCCATGCACGTGCCATCTCATGTCAGTTACCGTCCGTGTGGCCTTTGCAAGCACACCACTCCCTACAGCCCTGGTTTCCTTTCCTCCTCTTTGTCTCCTTTCAGACTCCTGCTGCATGCAATCCGTGTAACAACCTGCAGTGTCTTTGCACACCTTTGTACCTGTGCACACACTTAGAGATGCATGAGTGTGCACAGGTGGAGGCTTTGGGGGAGATGATCGCGTGCTCATGTTTTCTCCCTCATCAATGGCTCGCAGAAATCCCAGCCTGACAGCCCCCAGGATCTGATGAATGAACTCCAGGAGCTGTATGCGACTCCGTGATGGGGAAGTGCCACCAATCTTTCTGCCACCTTTCACTACTGAAGGTTCCTCACATTTTTAATTTCATTTAATTTTATGCCACAATAAACATCCTTGTACACATGTCCTTACTTATTCTGAGACCCTGAAATGAGGGCATCGAGTTCTCTTTCTTGGTAGGAATTTGAGCAGCCACAGAGCAGGTCATCTGCATCAGTCAATGGTTTACACACAGACGGCCATTCTTTCCCTATGAAAGTTGGTGCGGGATTTCTCTTAGTACTTGGGCTCTGGGGCAGAATCTCAAATTAAATAAATTAGTTACATAAAAGTTACATATATTTACTATCAATCACTTGATGATTTCAATGCACTTAATGCATTTGTCCTTTAAATAAATACGGAATTATTCAGGGGAAAAATGACAGTCTCACTTAATACTTGTATATTTGTCCCAGGAACAATTTCTCAATAAGGAGCACAATGTTACCATATCCTTGGGAGAGTAGCTCAAGAAGACTGAAATCTCCTTGTAGCAGAATAAGAGAAGTATTAGAAATAAAGCTTGGGCTGAAGGTTTGCTCAGGAGGGGCAGAGTTTTGCTCAGGAGGGGCAGAGTTTGTGCAACTATCTGGCAGGCTGTCTGGCCACAGCAGCTCCACGACATCGTTCTGAAGGTTAGCTGGAGACCTCCTAAGTGGCCTCTGCCTCCGATTGTTAGAAGCCAGCATATTTGCAGAGTGACAGTGAGAAACGAGAAGGACCCTCCTCCTCCTGTTGGAGCATGGAGGGATCTGCTGGACTCCCGTCCACATTGAGGTGGTTGAAGGGGCCCCATTCCCTTCCTGAACTCCAGGAAGGACTCTGAAGAAGGAAGCCACACCACTGCAGCCTCCTCTACCTCTGCCAGCGTCACCTCACCGACGCCTTCTCTGACCTGGTATCTGATGCTGTTTCTCCAGTCACCTCCCGGCACTCTGCTGGGTTCCTCCTAAATCTCCTCTTGGGTCTCCTCCTTCTCAAGATTCTGGGTGCAGCCCAGAGCCTGGGGCGAGCTCCCCAGAGGACACCCAGAGGCATGCTAGTCAGAGGCAGAGCATCGTGAAAAGGTGACGCACAACCTTCTCCTGAACCACAACATGGGCAATTGGGAGACCCCAGCAACGGCAGTGAGGGTCCAGGGGTCAGTGATGTCGGAGGATAAGTCAGAAGGTATTTCTAGGCCCATTTGGCTCACAGCAGCAGGTGGGAAGGGAGGGGCAATGAGGCTTGGAGAAGGAAATGCACCACTGAGGAGAAAACCAAAGGGCTCCTGCCCCCCACCCTGGGAGCCCCACCCTGGGAGCTCCACCCTGGGAGCCTGGAGAGAACAAGGGTCCTCAGCCCCAGTGTCCCACTGTTGGGGGCCTCTGACTATCCTGGGGACACCTGACCTATGTCCCTGGGGATGTGTCCTAAGAGAGTCTTTGGTTCACTGCCAACCTCTTCCTGTGGAGGAGGAGCACACACTCTGTCCCCATCAGCTTCCTTGGAAGCACGGCATTCACTGTTGTGACATTGGTCCTGAGAGAGGGGCCTCCTCAGATGAGTATCCAGAGCAGAGAGCGAGACACAGATGCCCAAGGGCAAGGAGCCCAGTGTCTGACTGGCACGTCACCTTGGCCTTTCCCCTTCTATCAGTTCACCTTGAAAGCTTCTCCATGTTGACCAGCCAGGGCCCCAGTCCCCCTGCTCTGCCCCTTCAGAGTCTGCGTAACCCCAGCTCCATGTTTACTCATCAGTCAAACAACTTCAAACACCACACACAGCGGCATTACACCCAGTTCTGGGGATGCAGGAAGGAAGGAGGAAGGGGTGGAACCTGCCTTGGGTCCAGCCTGTGACAGCCATAAGCACCCCTCTCTCTCCCTCTTCCTTTCCTATTACCTGGATGGGAGGTGTTGCCATTCCCCAGCTACCGGCTCGCCAGGGGTCTTCCTGGAAGGCTCCCTCTCTTCCCATCCACTGATTCCCGGGAACTACACTTTCTAAACTCCATGGAGCCCGCCACCTTCTCCATTCCACTGGTGCTCATTTCAGGTCCATTGTGATCTCTTACTGCAACAACCCCTGAACGTGCCTTCGTTTCCAGCCTGTTCCTCCAGCAGATTATTAACCACATGAGCCAGAGGGATCTTTCAGATACACAGTTCCACTTGTTTCCCCCTGCTTAGACTCCTCAAATGGATTTCTGCACTCTTCTCAAACTCCTAAGAGGACTTCACAATCTGGTCTTTGTCTACTTTTCTAGCCTTATTGATCTTTCATCCATGGGCACATCACCCACCATCCATCCATCCATCCATCCATCCATCCATCCATCCATCCATGCCAAGATCCCTCCACCTGGCCATCCAGCCCCAACTAACTCATCCGAATGCCGAGTACCTCCCAGAGCTCCTGCCCATCAGCAGCTTCGTGACACGCTGCTTTGGTCTTCCTCTTAATTCCCAGTCCCACTTCACACCCCAGTTCTCACCTCCTGTTCTGCTGTCTGGACCTCCCTGGGCTCTCTGTGTCCTTGCAGCACTGGGCCCCAGTTTTCTGCTGCCCCACCCTGGCCTGAGCTCCAAGCTCGGCCGCTGGTTGCCATGCCTCCCTGACAGACGCAGCTCCCACTGTGGTGCGACAGCCCTGTGCTTCTTCTTGACTTTCCAGCCCCTGTACCAATGGGAAATACTTCCTCCTTCTTCCCCCAGAGCCTATAGCCAGGTCAGCACACGTGTCCCACAAGTAATATACCCGCCCAACACTGCCCACTCTTGTGGGTGCATCCTGCTCTGGTGTGGCCACTGCAGCTGACCGTCCAGCTTCAGAGGCACAGGCTTCCCTACCTCTGTTGGGAGACTGGCAAATGGGAGGACTGGGAGGTCTGGAACTAAGTCAAGCAAGGGCAGACAAAACGCCCCTGGCAGGTGCTACCCAGCTACACATGAAGGGGTCTCCAATTTCATTTGCTCCAGAGGATGGACTCAGAGGCAGCGAGGCTGCTCTGGAGGCCTGTGGCCCAGGCCAGGCAGCAGGACTTCCTGGGGCTGTGGTGGGTGGGACCTCACAGTGACTGCCCCATTGTCTCACTGTGGGAGGTGGCTTCACTGGGCTTCCTCTAAACAGGATTCTGAGGCAGGCCAGGATATCTGAGCAGCCTGCTCCCAACCACCTCCCCTGTGGGAACAGGCAGGAAAGTCCCAAGATGCATGGACACAAATGTCCAGGAATCCATGGAGCCACAGAACGCCCAAAGCCTCCAGGCTAGTGGGAAGGAGCTCTGAGAGAGGACCAGCCATGCCCTCCTGATTCACAGCTCACAGGGAGGAAGGGCTGGCAGTAGGCACATTTGGGGGTTTCTTACAGGTAGCTAAGGGAAACACTGAATTCTCTGACACAGTCTGGAAGTTTGGTGATGAACACAGTCTCTCCAGTAGCAGAAAGAGCACACACTGGTGAGCAGCTCTGCTCTGAACCACATGCTTAGGAATGATCTCCTTAAATGCCCTCTCTGGAGTTGGAAGAGCCTGATTGTTTCCATTAGACAGGATGTGCCGCTGCCTGGTGGTTAGGAAGAGGATACGATCATGGAAAAACAGTCGAGGTCTAGGCCACAGCGTCACTCAGGTAGCCCCGCCCCCGCAACGCAGACTGCTTCTGAGAAGAGGGAAGGAAGCGCTGCACGTGCCCAGCACAGAGGAGGCTGGATGTTGCGCCAGGGGAGCTGTGCCCATGACAGCCCGGCCCCCAGACCAGGGGTGCAGCTTCCAGTTCCTGCTCAGGTGGGATCCTCTAAAGCTGTGGTGACAGTCCCATCACATAAAATGTACCATTCTCTCCCTTTGGAATGTGCAGTTTGGTGGCAGCAAGGGCACCCAGGTCACTTCGCAGCTATCACCACCCTCCAGCTCTGGCTCCTTCTCGCCTCTCACCCGAGCCTCCATCCCCAGGCAACCCAAACGGCCCTTCCCCCCGCCTCCACCCTGCCTCATGGGGCCTTGCAGGGCTGGGTCACACCGCCCTTGCATGCCTGGCTCATTTCCCTCTGCATGATGCCTTCCAGGGCGGTCCTTGTTGGAGCATGTGATAGGATTTCCTGCTTTTTCATGACTGCCTCGTATTCACTGTCTGTCTCATCCAGCAGGTTGGTCTGTCGCTCCTCTGTAGATGGACATAATTTTGGTTTTGACTCTAAAGGCAAAGGATCAACCTGCATGCTCCCAGATGCATAGGTTTGTAGTTAATTTTCTTTTAAACCAAGGATGTCATCTAATTTTAAGAAAAACTTGTTTTTAAAAGAATTCATTTTAGACAGGCATCAGCACGGCATCTGAAGTCCTGACCTCCTCATTTCCTCAATATTTATCTCCCCTGATGATTTGCACGGG